TACGTTTAGTTCGTTTTAAGTTTACGTTTACGTTTTGGTAGGTAGGTACGTAGTTTACGGTTTCGGTTTTTTTCGGGGGGGGGGGGGAGGGTGGATAACTTTTCTGTGGACATGTTTTGCACTCTTCCATACAATGAGTTGTGTGAGAGTATTGGTTCTGATATGTAAGAACAATGGATATGTTCAAAGTTGTGCAAACTTCATGGTATTAATATTTATGAGTCGTATGATGATCATTTGAGAAAGAATGATAGTGTTCAAACCTGAAATGCGATCATTAAGTGGATGTGTGGTCATACAAGATTGGACAAGATTATGATCACATCCTACAAAAGGTGCAAGTAGCACATATAGAGATAATCAGAAAAGCTCATCTGAGATGGTTTTACCATATCCTACATAGACCTCCATATGCATTGCTTTGTATGTGTAACAATACGATGATTGGAAGTGATAAAAGGGACGAGGAGACCTAGAATCACATGGAGATAAGTTGTCTCAAATGCTTACAATATCTTAATCCGTGCGGACTTGTCTAATTATTGGAAGTAAAGGAGATGATACCAACTAGTTGAGATTAAGTCTTAGTTATTGTTACACTTACATTATGTTCAATGTCTGTCAAGACTCTTTTTTATTCTTGTTAGAGGACCATGTATAGTGCTATAAGAATAAATATGAGATTTGGAGAACCCCTAATTTGTCTTAAATGGAAAGCATGTTACTTGCTATTGGAATAAAATGAACTTGGTAAGAGCATAATGGATGAACAGAATTCATGTAGCCAACCCCAACTAATGGTGATTGAGTGCATAGTAGGTTGAAAGTTGGGAGACAATGGACATGTAACCCACAAGTGATCCAGCCCACAAGTTGGATCAGAGTCGCTGGGCTAAAAGTTTAGCGTTGACGTTGTGCATTCATTCTCATATATGCTTGTCTATGCATCTTCTGCAACACGAGTCTCAAACTCAATGGATTGATCTGTATTAGGCATCCATTTGCTAACTTAGTTACTCTTGAGGTAAGCTTCCACACGTGATATCAAACTTACGGTCTTCTCTGTAATTGCTAACATTCTTTAGTCTTGATGCATAAGATAAGTTGATCCTCCTTTTGAGGTTCTCCTGTAGCACTAAATAATATGCCAATCTATAATCCGGTAGTACTGCCCAAATTTACTTTCAAGATTCCTAAAAATTAAAATATGAGTACCAATATAATACAACACCATAAATTTGTTTTATTAGTGATGCGATGGAGGATTAGGACGGGATAATACTTCCTCCATCCTGTTGTATGATTCTCGCTCTATTTTAGGATGTGCCAAAATGTTTAATACCATTCGCTGATGACATTATCTTATATTACTTTCAGAACTTATGAAAATTCTAATTCATTTAACTTCACACTTTAAACTATGATGTGGTGTTTCTTTGATCAAATATGTATTCTTCCACTATTACTGATATAACAAATAAGTCAGATTGACATCTCAAATCTCATTTCCAGCGAAACATTGTTTAATAGGACGAAGGAAGTATTCTCTAGGGGATCGTGGATCGATTTTACCAGTTGTATCCTATTTTAAAAGTGGAACTGAAGTTGGACTTCAAGTTTTTATATGTTAGTAGTATATTTTAACAGCACTGCCTATTAAACAAGTAAATTAAGCCACAATAACTAAAAATAACATAAAACTGCACTAAAAAATAAAAAGGTACATGGATGGAATAGGGTGTTGGTGGGTAGAGCATGGAAGAAGCATAAGTATTTTTAGTTAATCCCTCTATCCCTAACCTTTTTGTTTACACATTTCACTTTATGAGAAGGTTATGGAGTTCAGGTTCCATGTTATATTTGTGGCAAAAGAATACTACAGTTATGAATATACTTTATGTAAAAAGAGAAAATTACAGTTAGGAATATAAGTTTGCGAAGAAGCTCACTTCTGCCTAAAGTTTAAGTATGTAATTATTTTAACTCTTGGTACATGTAAATGGTCCATGTCAAACTTTTTGGACTTTCACAAGGCATTTGATATAAAGCTTTAGTTGATTTTTTTGGTCATCCTAATCCTGTTACCTTAAGTTGGAACCGTTTATTCTTTCTGAAACTTGGTTTGATATTGGATAAAAGGATGATCCCTAGTTGGATGCCGAAGGAAGATATAATGCATTGTGAAACTGATAAATGTGTACCAAGTATTCTGTCATCTGCTTATTTTTTTCTCCTTTTGCATGCAGGACAGCCTAAACGGCATCTTCTTACTACTGGCTGGAGTGTGTTTGTTAGTGCCAAAAGACTTGTTGCGGGAGATTCTGTTCTTTTCATTTGGTACTGTTTAGCCACCTTTGTTGAGTCAACTGCAAATTATTCCATATACGTATTGCATCTAGTATGGCATTTTCCTCCAGGTTTTTTCTTGAAGTTGTCGTTTCTGCAGGAATGAGAAAAATCAGCTCCTTCTGGGGATTCGTCGTGCAATTCGACCCCAAACTGTGATGCCATCATCAGTTCTATCTAGTGATAGCATGCACATTGGGCTACTTGCTGCTGCTGCTCATGCTGCTGCTACTAATAGCTGTTTCACTGTTTTTTTTAACCCAAGGTAGTCCTTAAATATACTCTGTCCTTGTATTTTCCATTCATATTTATATCCCTTTTCTGCTTTTCTCTACTCACATGCTTATTGTATTAGGGCTAGCCCATCTGAGTTTGTTATACCTCTTTCAAAGTACATCAAAGCTGTATATCACACTCGTGTTTCTGTTGGAATGCGTTTCCGGATGCTATTTGAAACTGAAGAATCAAGTGTTCGGAGGTATGTAAGTTGTTTGATCTTGGTTGAAAGATTTCCTTTTATCTTCTTGGCGTCAAATAATCCATTTGAAGAAGTCCTCTATAAGTAGGCCGTGTAGTTTCTTAACAATCAAAAACTGGGCTGCGTAGTTTCTTATTGATGTATCATTGAGCACCTGTTTTATGTTTAACTGCAGATGAGTGGCTCTCGAATATGTACCCTCTCCTATGTTTCAGTTAATGACAAATTATAGTTGGAGAACTAAGTTTAATAATGTAGAAATGATGAACCGGGATGAAGGTGCGGGATTATTGCCCCCATGGTTTTCCTTTGCCACATAGAGTTCATTCTTGTCTTGCACTTGCGAAAACATAGTTGCATTCTTGCATTAGGGTGTTTGATTAATGAAGTCAGTGGTTTGTTCTGGCAAATAAACCAATTAAATTAATAAATTCATTGCTATTTGCTAGTAAGTTGGGTCTCCTACCTTTATGGCTATCATTGAAATCAGGTCTGTATATTTGTTAGATAAACTCTCTTTTCTTATTGGTGGTTCTGTCATTTTCAGATACATGGGCACAATTACTGGGATTGGTGACTTAGATCCAGTTCGCTGGCCAAACTCTCACTGGAGATCTGTCAAGGTAAATTGTCATTTTTTTTTCCTCATAAGATCCAGTTCTCTATTTGCTATTCTTAATCTTTGGTAACTATATCAGTTAACGTGGTTTTCCCGTTCATATCTCAATGCTTGAAGGTTTTACTCTTTTTCTCTTTTGTTTCGTTTTGTTTGTGTGTGTGTGTGTGGGTGTGTGGGTGTGTGTGTGTGGGGGGGGGGGGTCTTGTGGGTCGGCTCCTGCTCATGTAATTGAGCTGAATGCTGGTTGGCTTGAAGGTTTTACTTTGATCTCCATCTTTCTAAAGATTCAGAATCTTTATAACAGAAAATCTTTTCCATTGGTTTTTCATCCCCCCTTTCAGTTTCCCCAACTTTCATGTTGTGAAGTTGTATTCTTTCCCCGACTTTCAGTCTTTATCTATTTATGTTGCACAAGTCAGTAGTTTTTATCTAATAGTGAGTGAGCAAGCTATGTCTATTGTATTTGTGATGCTTGTGTTTGGTTTTGTGGGGACTGAAATCTTCATCTTCTTGTGCTCAGAGCCTGATTCATTTTGAATGTATTGCTGACAAAATTTCTATAAAACTAATTTGAACTGCCCTCTCTCTCTCTCTCTCTCTCTCTCTCTCTCTCTCTCTCTCTCTCTCTCTCTCTCTCTCTCTCTCTCTCTCTCCTTCAATTGTTATCTGTGGTCTGCTCTAGTTTTCTGCTGCCAAATCACTTCGCACCCCTAAACTGGCCCTATGATATATGATGCCTTTGCTTATCCAGGTTAGATTATCTTTGGTGTTTCCCTAGACTTGGGTACTGTTTCGTGCATTACTGCATTCAACGTACTTTACTCGCACTTAACATAGCTTGTGCAGAAATCAGATATTATAGGTGTTCTGTTCCTTCTAATTTTAGTCTTACAACTAGTAGTATGAAAATTATAAATCTACAGTAAGGAAGTTACAGATCTACAATCATATTCTCTTGTATGGGCCAAACAGTCACTTTTGCTGCTAATACTTCATATTTACACAATAAATTTCACGAAATTATAGGTTGGTTGGGATGAGTCAACAGCAGGCGACAGGCAACCAAGGGTTTCCTTGTGGGAGATTGAGCCTTTGACTACTTTTCCAATGTATCCTTCTCTGTTCCCTCTTAGGCTAAAACGGCCTTTGTATCCAGGAACTTCATCTTATCAAGGTATGGTATACTGAATGGTCATGTGGTTGGAGAACTGACGCTGTAAATCCTGATCTTTAAGTCTACGTTTTTAGTAAAATTGTAAAATCTGCAATTTAACTTATCGGGAAAAAAAGAAAAAGAAAAAGGAATTGGCCAACTTAATTTTCCTCTAACCCTCAAAGGATCTTTATCCCCAGTCCCCACCAAATTATCTAGAAGCCTATGCTAGTAAGTTTTATCCTTTGCTTTTGCAGATAGTAACAATGAAGCTATTAATCGAATGGCATGGTTGAGAGGGAATAGTGGTGAGCTAGGACCTCATTCGGTGAATCTTCAGTCTTTTGGCATGCTTCCGTGGATGCAACAGAGAGTTGATTCGCCAATTCTCTCAAATGATCTTAATCAGCACTATCAAGCTATGCTGGCCACCGGCTTGCAAAGTTATGGGAGTGGAGATTTGCTGAAACAGCAGTTAATGCAGTTTCAGCAGCCTGTCCAATATCTTCAACATGCAAGTAGTGATAATTCCATTCTGCAGCAGCAGCAAGTAATGCAGCAAGCAGTTCATCAGCATATGCTGCCTGCTCAAACACAAATGCTGTCAGAGAACCTGCAAAGGCAACAACAGCAACAATCCAACAACCGGTCGGAGGAACAGGCTCATCAACACGCTTACCAAGAAGCATTCCAAATCCCACGTGACCAGCTTCAGCAGAGGCAACAACCACCAAACATACCCTCTCCATTTTCAAAAGAAGATTTTGCAGATTTGAACTCAAAATTTTCAGCATCTGTTGCTCCTTCAGGCGTGCAAAATATGCTAGGTTCTTTTTGTTCTGAAGGAAGTAGTAATTCCTTGAATATCAACAGAACTGGTCAGTCTGTGGTCATTGAGCAGCCGTCCCAACAATCGTGGATATCAAAATTTACGCAGTCTCAACTAAATAGTTGCTCCAACTCATCACCACTTCCAACGTATGGGAAAGATACTTTGAATCCTCGGGAAAATTGTAGCTTGGATACCCAAAATCAAGCTCTTTTTGGTGCTAGTATTGATTCTTCAGGGCTTCTCCTTCCGACCACAGTCTCCAATGTTACTACTACATGTACTGATATTTCCTCAATTCCACTTGGGATGAATTCTGGATATCAGAATTCTCTGTATGGTTATGTGCAAGACTCATCTGAGTTGTTGCACAATGCAGGACAAAATGATCCACCAAATGCATCCCATACGTTTGTGAAGGTGCTACTTCTGCGCTCATTTCATTGGCATTTAGTGCATGTGACAATCATGTGAGTAACAAAGTTTTTTTTGTCCATGCAGGTTTACAAATCGGGGTGTGTTGGGAGGTCACTGGATATCACCCAGTTCCGCAGCTATCATGAGCTGCGACGGGAATTGGGTCAGATGTTCGGGATCGAGGGGTTCCTTGAAGATCCTCAAAGATCAGGCTGGCAGCTTGTATTTGTCGACAGGGAGAATGATATCCTTCTCCTTGGAGACGACCCATGGGAGTAAGTACTCAATTGTGGGAAGACTTAAATATGTAGAAACTTTTTTTTTTTTTTTTTCCAATTTTCCACTACGACAGAATGAAGAGCATGAGCTTTCAATACTTTTTCCTTATGTATAGGGTTGCTTTTTCTTATTTACTATAGTTTTATACTCTAAAGTTATCTTACCTTTGTGTGTTTGATATCTATTCAGCCCGTGGTAGTATCCAATCTTTTAGGAAGTGGCTTTTTAAGTCCTATTATAACATTGTAATCTTCTTTTTTGTTTCCCTGGCGTGGTATTTTTCAGGGCGTTTGTCAATAACGTCTGGTATATAAAAATTCTTTCACCCGAAGATGTGCAGAAGCTGGGAAAGGAAGAGGCTGAATCACTGAACCGTGGGGCGGTTGAAAGGATGAGCAGCAGCACTAGTGCTGATGATCGAGATCTTGTTTCTGGAATGCCATCTTTAGGATCGCTCGAGTACTGATTGTTGTAATGCTCTAAAAGAAGAAGACTGGTTCTGATTCTCTATATCTAGTTTCATCCCTCTTATCTTTTTGGCTTCTTTAGCTTTGTTGTTGAATTTTTCCTTTCAATCTTGCTGTAGTAGGAAGTTAAGCTATCTCCCATCTGTATGGTCATGTGTAGCTTTCACTGCAGTCCTGTTGTACGAGTTGATATTATTTACTGTACCGTGTACGGCTCAAAATCAGACCTTGATTTAAACTAAGAATCTCCGAAGTTATAAACTTGTTATTTCAGTTCAACTTTGTCGAGTAACCCTTGAAATAACTGTTTCTGTATCAGTTTAGGTTTTTTTTACAGACAAAGAAGTTGAGGATCTCCAGCTGCATGCTTTTTCCTGTAGGTAAATGTCCTAAATGTTATTGATGTGTCTTTTCGCATTAATCTGCATAAAACTATCTGGTTCGGATTGCTTTTATGAATCTAATGTACTCATTCTGCTTTATTCATATCCAGTGAAATTTTCTTTTTAGAGGATGCAATAATTAGTTGTATTTATGTGTATTGATGTGTCGATCAAGCAACGATGTTTCTGTTTTACCCGTGCTTGACACAGGTGGAGTTAAATACATATGAAGATGTTTGCACCAAACAAAAAAGAAAGAAAAATGAAGTAGAATCACATTATATTATTTCCTCTGTTCTATTTGAGACCTCTCAAAATGTTTGACACAATTTCATTTGTATTCAACTTTCAAACTTCATACGTTGATACTACTATGTTCTCTGTATTCAACTGTGACAACTGATTTTTTTCACCACGACTTCACTATTTTAGTCCACTAACACTAATATAATACATAAGCCAAATTGAATATCTTAAATTCCATATCCTGTTCAGCATTGTTTTATAAACTGAAACAAAGTAAGAACTTTTAACAGACAGGAAAAGATTGGCCCAGCAGAATTTTGCATTTTGTCTTTGAGTTTCATTATTCCATGAACTTCTTCGTCTATGATTTATTGGGAGGTGAATAGAAGAAGAACAGATAAGAGGAAAGGGTGCACTGATGATGCTTTATGTTCTCAGTTAGATGCACCCCCCCCCCCCCCCTTCCTCCCCAGACACATGCTTATGATGAGTTGACTAGGTTTATAATTGCTTTGTGTAGTCTTTTTTTTAAGTTAAACATGTGTACTGTTACGCGGCGCCTTCCTGAGATTCCTTGGAAGGGCGACGTAACGCTAGACAACTGATGTCAGTGCAGTTGCTGTCCGCCAACTGAGGTCCCCTCCGTACGCTAGACGAAATTGTCAGTGTCGTACGGGAAAAACAATGTCAAGAGCAATTGAGATAACAGAAATGAGAATTCAGAATGAAAGAAAGCTTGATTGCATTAATGAAAGCTATTACAGAAAAGCAACGCGGTGTCGAAGGGGAGAGACACCAGTACAGAGAATTGCTTGCTTGCTAGAAAGTTTTGATTGCTTGATCCCCCCTAATAGTACTTAAAAAAAATAATCCAAAGTTACAAGACTAGACTTGACTAAGCTAGAGAAACATAATGGAAGTACCTGAAATAAAACTACTCTATATTTACAATGAAAATGACTTAGTTTTCTATAAGGCAGCAGCAGGTCCGTTGTCAGCAGCAGTGTCTTTGGCATCACGGTCTGCGCGCGCGGCGTTGTCTGCGCGCGCGGCGCTGTTGGCTTCTGCCTGCGGCTTGGCGCTGGCGAGGGATATCGGTGGGGCGACAGAGGCACCTGCGCGCTTGTCACTTGGCGCGGCCAGGACCACGGGGCCGTTCGTGGCGCTAGGCATTGGGAGGTTTGCTAGGACGCCACGGGGCGCGCCCAAGGGGTCATGGGACATGGCTGGAAAGCCGCCCATGACAGTACTATTGCCAATTGGTACTAAAAGAAATTGAATATTCAATTTATAGTTGAAACTAATAGAATGGAATTGCTATAAATTAACGGGAATAATGAGTAATCACGGTAATAATTGCACTACTTACACGCTGTGGAGATAGTAATTAATTTTTATTATTATTATCTATGTTAAGACAAATTAATGGCAAGTAATGAGTATTGTCGTCACAACTCACATAGAACTATACATAATTTTCAAACCGAACTACATATTGTTTAATGGTAACTGTAAACAGAGAGACAATCAAGAAGTATGCTGCAGCTATTCATGAACTATTGATGAACAAAATATGTGAAGGGTTGGGTTTAAAGAATGTGTCTTTTGAGGGATGGCATTGCCAGTTTAGGTTTAACAAGTACAACTTCACGCCGGAAACTATAGGTTCCACTCGAGTTCTTTCACACACACACACATAATTTCTCACTATACTACAGGATGATGAAAACGTCGGTGGTCTTGAAATCATGAATAAATCTGGCCAATTTGTAGCAGTTGAACCCTGGCCAAACTCCTTCCTTGTCAATACAGGAGATGTAACCAAAGTAAGTACTTCCTCTGTTTATACAGTCTTGCCTTTTTAATTTTGTTTTTTCAGAAAGACATTTTTTATACTATCTATTATGAAATGCTGATATGGCCATAGAAATTCAAGTTTCAACGGTACTTTTGCTATGCACCAAAAAATCTTAGTAGTATATACTTTTTTTTAATTAAACTCAATGCTTACTCTGTTGGAGTTACATAATAATACAGCATAATAATACAACATTGGGCTCAACAATACAGCATTGGGCCATAGAGCTATAGATAGATTTTGGCCAAAGTCAGCCCAATAATTGTATTTATGTTGATCCGGATAGGTTGATAGAATTAGACTGTTATATATATATACACACTCTAGAACTTTGGGAATTTAGAAGAATGAAAGTCTAATTTCTCTCTTTCTCCGTCTTCTCTCTTCAAAGTGTAACCCTAGCTTCATCTCGTCAATTTCGTCCGATTACAATGTTTACATGGTATCAGAGCTACGGTTTTGGGTAGATCCAAGGGTGATAAGTCGAGCGGTGTTACCCCTGTTGGTTGAATCGAAAGAAGCGAAGATTTTGCTGTTTTTGGTTCGGTGAACGGTGATTTCTAAAATTCCGGCGACGATTTTTTCCGATCTCTGACGGTTATCTTCTATTCCGACAAGTTTATCAGTTTGGAGTGTTTCAAGGCTCACTTCTTCGAGTATAAAGGAAGAAGATCGGTAACCCTAAATTTTCTGTCCTTTGCATCATAGCTGGTGGTATTTTGCTTTATTGATATATGTTTAGTGTCGTTATTCGACTTTGATTCTGATTTCTATTTTTTTGTACGATTTTGTCCCAAATTGTTGAGCTATGGTGAATCCTGGAACTTCTACTGGAACTTCGTATAGTCCTGATCCTTCAAGTCCTCTTTTTATACATTTTTCTGATATTCCTGGAACGTGTTTAGTCAGTACTCCTTTCTCTAGGTCAGGTTATGGGGGATGGAAGAGAAGCATGATAGTGTAACAAAATTGCTTTTGTTGATGGCTCTTGTCCTAGACCTTCTAGTAATGACGATCCTGCAAAATTACGACAATGGGATAGATGCAATAATATGGTAATTTCGTGGCTAACCAGTTGTCACGACCCTATTTTCGGACCCGGTCGTGATGGCGCCTCTCGTGAAGACAAGGCCAGCCAACTGTTCCCAAATTCGAAGTTAAACAGCTAAACATCAAGAAAACAGGCTAAAACATGATTTAATAGTACTAAGTAGCAGATAATATCATAATAATGCGGAAGTACAACCCAAACACAACCCTAACCGGGGTGTCACTAGTCATGAGCATCTATAAGTCATAATACAAGTCTGCTAAGTCTGTAAACTAGTACATCCGTCTGAAACAAAATAGAAATGATAAAGGGGGAGAAACACGGAAACTGCGGACGCCAGGAAGCTACCTCGTGTTCTCCGAATGTCCGCCTGAAGCTATGAGGATCAGCTTTCGGGAGCGGAACCAGACACGCCTGAATCTGCACACAGGGTGCAGGGAGTAAAGTGAGTACTCCAACTCAGTGAGTAACAAATGTAAATAAAGATTGAAAGCGAGAAATCACATAAGGCACAGGGCAATCTATAATGAAGCATTAAAACCATTTGAAAACAGTAAATCAATCAAGAGATAAATAGAAATCCCTTTTTCTTCTCAATAGGAAAGCAGGAAAATGACAGGCAATAAAGGAATAATAAACACATAGAAGTTTGCCCCTCGGGCACAGTATCAACATCTCTGCCCCTCGGGCAACATCTCAGAACCATACCAGCCCCTCGGGCTCAATTTCACATCATATTGGGTACCCGCGCTCACTGGGGGTGTGCAGACTCCTGGAGGGGCCCCTTACGGCCCAAGCGCAATATCAAGCCATCTTGTGGCGTCATCACTAGGCCCTCGGCCTCATATCAATCAAGCCACCTCGTGGCGTACATATCTCAAGCCCTCGGCCTCAAATCAATATCAATGTTTCCTCACAACATTGGCCCTCGACCTTACTCAGTCAAAAATCCTCAAAGCCCCCCGGGCAGTAGTAAAACAGTATTTCTCAGCCCAAACATCATTTAAAATATCATTTAAGTATTAAAAGGGAGTAAACATGGCTGAGTATAAAAGCAGTGGAAAATAACATGACTGAGTTCAAGTATAAAGTCAAAACAGTGAGGAGATATCAATAAAATCCCCCGAAGGGTTCAAATAGTTGGCACGAAGCCCAAATATGGCATTCCGCCTAAATAATGATGATAGCAAATAGATTTCAGTCAAATACGCAGTAAAATCATCAATCGGGACGGACCGTCAATATAGCACTACGCTATAGCGTGTGCCTCACCTCAATATAGCACTACGATGTGCAATCCGGGGTTTCAAACCCTCAGAACATCATTTACAATCATTACTCACCTCGAACCGGTAAATCTCTAGCTCGCGACGCCTTTGCCCCTCGAATCGGCCTCCACCCGCGTCGAATCTATCCAAAATCAGAACGAGGATGTCAAAATAGGCTAAAGGAACGAAGCCCTAGCGAAAATAATCAATAATTAACACAAATCCCGAAATTACAAAAAACCGACCCCCGGGCCCACATCTCGGAATTTGATAATTTTTACACCAATAGATTCCTTATCTTCCCACGAATTCATACATACCAAAAACTCAGAAATCCGACCTCATATGGACCATCAAAACCTCAATCATATGTCTCCAATCCTAAACCCTAGCTTTCCCCAATTTTCACTCTTAATTCCCACAAACTCTAGCTCTAATCCATGAAATAATAGCATAGGAACGAGTTTTAGGTC